TAAGCAATTAATGATGCTACGGCAGTAGATAAAGATTATAAAGATTGTTAATGGCATTACGCTACACTACTTTTCTGGCTATTAAATACACAAAATCGAAATAGTAGATAATCAGCTAAAAAGTAATTCGCATAAATGTTATTTGGAGAAGACACCTACAGTAAAAATATTTATTTATAGTAATTAGTTAAATGACACAACTGTTTGTTTCTGTAAAGGGGACCGTAATTCCCGTCAAGACAGTAAGGATTAGCTAAGTTCGCGTCGACGTCAATGAACGGTAGGCCCAARAAACGTGCTATTTCGACAAGGYCGGACCAAAGGGATGAGTAGGAGGCACGCAAAGAGGTGTCCAGTGTCATGCGGAGACTCATTACACGCAGGATATACATATATTAGATATGTCGGGGTCTAATCTGGATAAGTAACATTTTAACCGGCTAYAGTATCCAAACTGAAGCTGCACAAGGGTCACCCACGTTTTTGCCAAAGAGCTGCTTGGTACGAGTTAATTATGTTCGGTGTTCGATAAGAGACATCAAGTGGCGTCCAGTCGTAGTTCGGAGTGCAGTGCTCTGAAGCTTCCTCGTCTGCATTTCACTGCATCCAGGCGACCATATTGGCGCGGCTTAGGTGCGTTGGCTAGTCCACCCGATTGCCATGTAAGTTGACAAYAACGTTTCTTTGTGCTTTCATGTGCTGCCGGCTAGCGATTTGAGGATTTTGATGCTGCTCTTTACTTTGGCAATGATCGCGGTCGCGGAAGCACAGACTGTGAAAAGTTTCACTTAAAATTTTAGGATTATTGAAAGTCGGAATCTTGACGACATCGACTGCAATAATAAGGTCAAGTCTGTACTCCTTCGCCCAGTTAGTGAACATAGTCCTTGTGGATTTAGTGGATGAGAGTTCCATGCAGCGAGGAAGCGAGAAAGAKCGGAGAGATAGGCGTTTGCCTTTGAATAAATGTCATCGATTCCATTTTGTGACGTCAGTATTCTACAATCATCAACATACGAGCAGAAGAGGAAACTCTCTCTGGTGGTTGTGGCAGTTTCGAGAGGTAGAGGTAGCAACAGGGAGAGGACACTATCCTGCAGACCACCTTCATTAAATTCTACTCCTTTTCGAGTTTTTACCTCGAAATAATAAGGATAATTGACGACCGCTCGGTAGTTCATGGCCCACCTCTTTTCTAGTTTTTTCGTTGTCCTCCTAGAGTTGTGTGTGACAGACTGTGTCAAAGGCTTTTGATAAGTTCAACGCTTCAAGGATCGTTCTGTCACCGGGTGGTTTCTGGTTAAAACCACGAACTATCTGTGCGTTTATAATGCTAAGTGCACTTTTCGGAAGCGATGTTGTTGGATTACTAGGCTCAGATGGGGGGTGACGATTAGGAGTAGCAAGGTCTCAAGTGTCTTCACTAATGGGGAGGGAAGAGTTATCGGACGATAGGACTCCCCTTTGTTGGCGGTATTTTGCAATTATGTATACATTTACACAATATACGACAATTAAGTGACCCAAAAATATTTATAAACTCTTTTAAATCTCTCAAACATGTGTTATATCAAATTTAAGACGTACACTTTTTTAGTATTTATAACGAAGATAGATCAAAGAATTGTTCAGCAGTTTTATTTTTTATAGTAGACAACGTCTATTAATCGTTTACAAAAAATGCATTTAGCTTTTTGTGATGACAGCAGCATAAAGTGATGATTCATAAAGTAATTATGTGTTTCTTTCAACTTTTTATAACAACCACATAAAAGCGAATAATAAATTGAAGGCAAATTTGTAAAGTTTCAACAAATCTGATAGTGAAATATAATTTTTATAGTGAAAAACTAAATTTCAGCAGATTATTTGGATTAAATAGGAAGAAACAAAATTAACGGCCGATGAAACCTAAACTTTTTTATTTGAAGAGTTATCTTCACGAAATTTGGCAATGATTATTGACTAAGGCAACGGTTTAATATCCAAAGAAATTATTCAAATCGGAGTACTATAGCATATAGCTGCCATACTAACCGACCGATTAAAATCAAGGTAATGATCTTTTTTACTCTATTATGCTTTAGGAAAAACAGCTGTGTAGAGTATTGAAGCTTGGAAGCAGCCGAAGTTCACGTTCTTTCATGTTTTTAATTGCAAATTACTCTTCAAGTTAAATCAAATGCAGCCTCTTTCAGGAAACAACGCGTAACAACAACACATAAAGGATTTCATTCGAAAAATGCAAGAACAAAACATTTTTAGTGCAGAAGCTACACAGGCAATTGAAAACGTCAAACAAACACATAGAAATTTACAAAATTCTTGTAATGTACGTGAGTGCAATAACAAACTACAAAAGCAAAATAAATGCACCGGTATTGCCAAGACGTTGACGCCGGTGAGCAGATGAAATTACATGTAAAAAATCAAAACACACAGGCCTTTTTTATAAGGCCATAGATGTAGAGAAATAACAAAAGAAAACTGAAAATATAGAATTGTATGATTTTTTTACGTGTGCATGCACATGGGGTTGGTAAAAATGCACAACAAACAAACAAGTGTGGAGTGCAACGTAGAATAACAGAGCGGCAAAGGCAGAGTCGGAAGAAAGAAGGAARGAACCAAAGCAAAATAATGTGATAACAAATGGGTAGGCCAGTAAAAATGATTGCASCGAAGGAACGTGAAAAAATAATATGGCATTGCAGCGGGGTAGARCGAATCACGAATGAATGGAGACTATTGGAAATTTCCGTAGAAAGAATAGCCTTCTGGAGGAATTTGTAAACAACCTTGCACAGTTTTGCTCGAGAATATACTCAAAAATTAGGTACATATGCAAGCAGGATTGGAATACACAATTGTTGGCTTTAGTTTAATATGCTTAAATATATTTTACATACGTTTATTACCATTTACAAGGGATCTTGTTTCGGTAGATAACTGATATAAATTGAMCCGCGTCAAATGCTAATCATTGTCMAAATCATGCCTACACTTCTTTTATTAYTATTGCATTTCGATTGCACTACACTATATTCAACACCAACAAGCACTTGGTTTTAAACAAACAATATTAATTGTATAAGTTAGCGTCGAATATACTTTGTAAATTTCATTTCCAATATCTTTTGAATTTAAGATAAATTCTGTCAGCAACAGCTGTACACTTCACTTATTAAGAACACTTAATTAGTATGGCATGATATGCTAACGATTTGTTTTATATAGTACGATCTGMAAATTTTTATTATTCTGTTTACTGAATTAAACTCAGCTTCCGACAACGTTAACTAGCGGGAAACCTTTTTTATATTCTATCCGCGCTTCACAACCGCACTACAAAAGACCAAAATTCGTTTTGAACAAACTCGAACAAACTTCGCTCGCTGTCATTACCAAAAATCAACGAATACCTTGGAAATGTCGAAGCGGCAAATAAACATGCTTGCAACAAACGACGATAAAAAGGCAGAAAAACAAAATGTCAAAATGTACTACATCGCTGAGCAATCCTGTGTTGTTGAAGCGTTGCCAACTATATTACTAAAGTTGTTGCGACTTTTTGCAGAAATTTATTATGAATTAGGGCTAACCAAAAATTTCCAAAATAATTATTTTTTTGTATTGAATTTTCTTAATGTATATTTTCAAAAATCTGATAAGCGGAATTAAATCCGACAAATAGTTTTCGAATTATTCGATATTTATGAAAGGTTTGAAATATTGTTATTTATTCTTGGACCGGATGAGACCCCGGAATTATTACCTTCGATCCTAAGCACACCAAAAATTATGGAAATGCTTTACTCTTTATTTTATTTATTAGTTGGTTCGATATTCTGAATAAAAGAAAAAATGTGTGCCCCATATTACGTTAATAAACGGGAGGTCATGATACCAATAGCCGTGCATGAAATGATCGCATGCAGGATAATGAAGACAAATTTTACTAAAAATGGTTTCAGGACCCAAAAATATGATGGAGAGCATTGTCCAATCCTCTTTGTCTTCTTCTTTACTGGCGTAGATACCGGTTACGTGGTTGTAGTCGAGTGGAACGGCTCGGAGGTCCTTCCCGTTTCCACTGCCGTATTAGTTTTGCAGGGATACCAAATTCAGACATCGCTCAGCTTCTTTTCATGTTGATTTTCTAGGTCTGAAGTCGCACAGATAAGGTCAAATCAGTATGGGGACGGTCTGCGCTCGATAGAACCTTATATGCGCTGTTGAGAAGGCTTATCCCTTGGTAGTTGGCGCAARGCTTAAAATTTGAAAGGACTAACTTTGGTCACAAGTAAAATCCGAGTTTTTCTTAATTTTAAGCCTTTCATTTTTATTATTTTTTCCAAGCGCAAAAAAAATTATATTTATTATTTTTTGTTAATAGAAAATTGCAAAACTATTAGTATTCCACAAATGTTGAAAAAAAATATTACTCTAGTTTTTTATAAAATATTTGTAGACAACGGATCTGAAACAAAAGAACGTGGAAATAATTCATTTTAATTCTGAATCTTTCAAAACACTAGATTTAAATTATTTATTTAAACGAAAGAAGTAGAAAATATTTCATTTTAATTTTGTAGACTTCTCAAGCGTGATAAAATTTGCGGAACAATTATATTTTATGTAAATAGGTACTGGAGTAAAGCAGAAATATTTTCTTTACTTACTATTCTTGCTGAATTTTTATTTTTTTTTTTTTTTTTAATTTTTACAAATATATTTTCAAGTTATTTTCAGCACTTGCTGATATAAATCAATTGCCTAACRCTGAATGGGAACTAAAAATGATAACCTGATACATGTGTCTACCTATATTCGGTTGTCTATTTTAATGCTCCGTAACATTACACATTTTGTTGTTTTTTTTTTTATAAATTATTATTGAACCCATTATTMTGGCTTTAAGCACGTTCTATAAATACACACACATGATCTACAGCGCTATCATGAGTTAACAAAACACTTAAAAATAAAAAAGAGCAATGTCAGCATTTGAATATTTTCATAAAAACTTATAGCTTTACTTATGCTTAGCAATTTCTTTTATTACAGTATTTTAATTTACGCTAGTCATCAGTTTAATTGCCTGGTTTGTTTACGCTAGTTAAATTTTGTCTTCTCCACATTTGTATTTTCCTTGTTTCAAGTTTTTCTTCTTTGTATGTTTTGTATATATTGACACGGAACAATTTCATAGAGATTTACATTGTTGTTGGGTATTTTCCTGTTCTTGTTGATTTTCTATTTAATTATACAATTTAAAATAAAATTCTAGTGTTGTTGTTGCTGCTTTTTGCTAGCCTGCCGCGTCGTCTTTCGATGATGTGTGCCACCATTCTTGTCATGCGCCACCGCCGCACTCGCACCAGCCGCCGCTGTSGCGCTCATACTCATGCTGGTGGTGGGTGCACTTGTGCCTTGACTGACAGTCTGGGGTGCATTTTTGCCAGCATATGGGATGGTGAAGAGATTAATATGTAGATGATTGCAAATCTCCAAACACACCTGTGTGAAAGAAAAAAAAAATAAAATAAAAAATAATGACATTTATAGTTTGCATGCAAAACAAGAAAAAACTTTAAATGACAGCTGTAAGTTAGATAAATCCRATATAAATAACACATTCGGAAATTTTAGCGTTGTCTTGGACAATATTGCAAAATTTATATGGCCTGTTCAGTGTATAATAAATAAATATAAACTGTTTTTTGTTTGAATTACTTTGGAGCAGTAGCGTATGAGATCCTGCGTGCCCCAGAACAATGAGAACCACAATARCCAAATTTCCGGCACCACACAATTGAAGTATTGATTGAAGAAGAGCAAAGCTGGTCCCAATTGTGACCAATCCAAATACTCCATTTCAGCCTTTGTCATGTGCGCAATCTAAAGAGAATATAGTATATATAAATAATAACAAATAAAGTGAATTTAAAAGTGTGCGTKTGTTGTGTGTACTCACCACCAGCTTGTTGGTCACTTTGGCGGCCACCATGCCAAAAGCCAAGATATACAACGATGCATGTTCGGTGAAAATATTTTGTGGCGATTTTTGAGCAATTATCAGTGCGGGCAATATGACCATTGTTAACGGTATGCTGGGCGAAAGCACGCTGGTACCCTTGGAATGCGTGAGTTGATTTGAGTGTGAACGAAGTATTTAGAAGAAAAGAAATGGCATATTAGACAATTGTATGAAAAGAARCTGGATTTGAAAATATTATGCATTTGAAGAAGACACAATCACAAGAGACATGAAGAGGCGAAAAAACGAAAGTAGTGTCATACATGTTGACAAATAGACATGTTGCTTTAATGAATTTTARTTTTTATTTCACAAATAATTATTATTTTATAATTTACTTAAACCGACAATACTTTCGTTCTTTTTTATTTTTATTTTTTTTAGCGCATTACAATTTATTTTATTATTGTTATATTTTTATTTTAGCTGAGTTAAGAAGACAGATATTATTGCTTTTGTTAACTTTTACTTTGCAACTACTTTTTTGTTTAACTTTAACTATTAGACATTTGCGAGTTTTAAATTTTGCAACTTTTTATACTTTTAACATTTAAAAAAAATTGCTTGAAGCATTGTTTTTGTGGAGCATAGTGAGGGGTGGTGGAGTGGTGAGGAGCAGACATGAGATTAAAGCTGTATTTAACAAAAGTGTGGTGGTTTGGAGCAAAAGTATATGGAAGTGATGCAAAAAAGACGCAAGATTGTGGAGTTGGAGAAAAAAAACTGCAGAGGAATGCGATAGTGTGCAACCAAAAGATGGACGAGAGAGTTTAATACACTTAAAAATACATAAATATGTACTACAAGTAATTTATATACAAATGCTGTTGCTAAAAACTAACATGATTATGTAAAATGTGTAAAGAATTAAAAAAAAAAATTAATTACGAAAAGATGAAAATTTCGGATTTAAAGATTTTTCTTTTTTAAAAAATGTTTACTTTAAAAAAATTTTGAAATACATATGTAATAAAAAATATATTTCTAAAATATTTTCAAAAAAGTTCTAAAATTGTTGAGGATTTTTAAAAAGATAAACGAAAACAAAATTTTAACGAGATTTAATGTATGTAGTTCTAGGCACCATTCTGTGGAAAATTTTTATTTAATAAACTGCYTAAGCCTATTCTTTAATAACAAAATCTAAACAGTATTATAAACCTTTAACGAAAATTTAATATTTATATTTTATTTCAAAGTCATGCAAAAATATCTTCAAAAACTTTTACAAAAAATGTTTTGAATATTATATTTTTCCAAAAATGTTAAACAAAAATATTTTTACGAAAAAAAATTTTTATTAAATTTATTTTCCATATAAAAAAAAAAGATTAACTCATGATATATGTATAATTAAGCAACGCACTTTCAATTAACTTATACATACATACATACGTAAATAATGAAATAACGAACTTAAGGCAATATGTCTATGAATTGAATTGCGAGAATATCTAAGATAGCAACAACACTGGACCAGCTCCGAATGGAACAAACAATGCGAAACTAAAACAAATTGATGTAATAATTAAACAGTTATTAGACGAGCATGAGTATGCGAGTACACCACGAAGATGCAGGCGTGGTGAGTATAATTAAGAAAAAACGATAAAACCACAATTAAATATATATGTATATAATATGTAGAATAATGACAACTAAGAGAAGCCAACACCTGAATGAAT